GGCAGAAAAGTTCTTACACAAAGTAGACAATTGAATACTCTGCCATGCAAACTAATGTTTAAGAAGCTTAAAAAAAAGGAGTTCACTTGCTTTAAGATTCTGCTTGGGTTAAAAAAATTGGTGTAAATGAAAGAAATTTTTTATTTTATTTATTATTTATAGGAAAAAATTTTATAGGAAAAAAATAATATGAAAATAAATATATTATAAATAACAATAATAATATATTGTGAGTTTAAAAAAATATATATGTATTTAAAAAATAGAAAATATATATATTATATATAAAGCTTGCCTGACGAGCTGCACTTCTTTTGGTTTCTTCAGCTCTCATTTGCAAAAATTTTTGATAATAAATATTATGAAAATATTTTAAATATGTGCAAGATTTGTGGACTGCATCTCTTAAATTTATTTGATATAAAGTTGTGCTTTCTTAAGAAAAAGATACAAAAGTTTGGCTTTTATCAACTAAACTGAACTAAACTATTTAAGCCCACTCAGGTGTTACCTTTCACTTAAGCAACGCATAAGGCTCGCTATTAGTGTATAAAAACGTGTGCCACAAAAAGCTGCAGCAAGGCCCCGAGGCCAAGTGGGTAGAGGCAAGCAGCAGCAGTTGAGGCAGCGCCGCTGCTGCTGCTGCTTCTCTTGTTGTTGTTGACAATATTTATGCAGCAGCAGCACCAACAGCCCCGCGACTATCCAAGCCCCACTTCATCCACCCCTCCCCCCTGCCTCCATCTCGTTGTTGCTGTTTGTTTTTGCATTTTTGTTACATTTTACAGCTTTTGTTTTGTAATTTGCGCCCGCAAGCAACAAACCAACCAACTCGCAAGGGCACAAGCAAAAACACATTTTTTGAATAAACTCTTCAAGGATCGAACGTGGAGAGACCAGCTCCCCAGTTCCCTGTTACTACTGTAAATGTTGTTGTTGCTGTTGCTGTTGTTGTTGTTGTTGCTGTTGTTATTGTGGCTGTTTCCGCTTCCTCTTTGAGGCAACGCTTCGATAGATTGTTATACCCTGTAACCATTTGATATAGGTATATAGAGGGTATGATTTGAATATATATATGTTGCAGACAGATCAACATCTTCAATTTACATATCTGCTATATTTATATTTTATATATTTATTATATATATCGATCTTTATATAGTCAAAACTTAAAGATTCTTAACTTTAAAAATGAATATAAAACATTTATATAAAATTGCTATAGAGATATGCCAAGGACACTTCTTGATTCCATTTAAACATTATCTATCTGTCTGCTCATTTCACTCCAGGGTATTACCTAGTCTATCACCTTCATCTAGCGCTCACTTGCTTCTCTATATATGTTGCTGTTAGGTGGTTTTGTGCCATTGCGTTGCTTACTTTACTTTGCTGGCGAGTGCACCGCAGAACGTGACGAAGAACAAAAGAAGGCACTTGCGACACTTTCGTGCTTCCTGCGCCACGCTGCTTTAGCGGTCCAAGTCCTCCAGTCCAACCCACGCCACGCCACGTCAAACCCCTCCCCCCCTGTCCGCGTCATGTGCTCTCTTTATTATTTTTTATACTTTTCCCTCTGCCACATGCTGTTGTCCGCTCTTGTTGTATCCACAAAAAAGCACGCTTATAATAATAATGTCATTATGTATTGTCGAGTGCCGAAAAGAAAGAAGAAGCTTTTCCTTTTTTCCAAAGTTGCGCAAACTTTCTAACGAGCTGCCCAAAAACTGTTCAGCAAATTTGTTGCAAGCCAACAAAAAAATGAATTGAATAGATATTTTAGTTTTGGCCTAGTTGTGTTTATAATAAGGGAAACTGCTCATTAGTTGAAAAGCTGATCCAATTTATGGCTTGATTTTTTGCTAATTTACAAAATATAAAAAATTCAAATGAAAATTAGTTAGGCTTAAATACAAGATTTGAAATTTTATATAAAATTTGTTTTCAAGAAGTTTTCTCATATAATAAGAATATCTTTTGGAATGCAAACTTTGAGATAAAAACAAATAAAAAAGTTATATAGTATACGAAGAGTATAAAAGAAGAAGAGTATATAATATATGAGAGAAGCATGAACTGTTCTTGGAAGGGATTGGTAGAATGTGTTCAAAATATGGAGTGCTTGAAGAAGAATCTGTATGCCCAATTAAATGATTCCAGCAGCAAATAATTCGATATAAAAATTTATATTTTAAAATTCGAAATCTAAAATACGCAGCTATCTCTTTACTCCTTTTATAAAATTTATATATAATAACCAAATTGATTTTCAATTCAAGCCAAAACACAATCAGACAATCTTCATGAGAAATCACAGAAATTTCCAAAAAAAAAAAAAATCTTAAAATAAAATTTCTTTATACAAAAATCACAAATATCAACAAAAACTCAAATTTGTTAACAATTTGTTTCCTTTTTTTTTAATTATCCACGCAGGTTATTTACCTTTTCAGCCCGAAAAGGAAGCTCTACGATAAATATTGACTTTGCGTATTTGTAGAAAATATTTGTGTGCATATTATTTATTTAGATTGAATGGCATTCGGACAAACCAAAAACAAACTCGATTGCAAGCAAATACACCTTTTGCCGCAGTCGCAGCCGCAGAACAAAAACCGAAAACCGAAAACCGAAAACCAAAAAGAAATGTTCGAAAATAAACAAAACTCAACAGAAGTGAAAAAAATATATATATGTATATATCTATATATATTTGTGACTGGATCAGGTAGCGAATCCGTGCAGCTGTGGGCGTTCACCAAATATTCTCAATCTATTTGCATTTCTCTAATGAAAAGATAATATTGATGCGCTACAAAATATCGAAATAATACAAAGGCGAAAACTAATAAAAATAATAAACAAAGCCGGAGAAGTAGAAGAAAAACATCTGCGAATTATTGGATTAAAGTTTTAGGCATGGCAGAGCAAACGAAATAAACATTAGACAAAGGTGCAGAAATTGTGGCAAAGAAATTGACTTCTGATGGAATGAGAACTTCTATTATCTTCTTTGACTCAATCAGTTAGTCAGTCAATCAGGCATTCAGTTATGTTGTCTCTCAGCCTCTCCCTCAATCGGACACTCAATCTCTTAGCATTTAAATGCATCAGTGATTGAACCACGGTTTCCACTAGTTGTCACTTGTCACGCTCACATCTATCAACCGTTCAATCAGTATATTCTTAATCTATCAATCAGCTAGTCACGCGCTAGTCCTAACACTCTCAGTCAATCATTCAATACTTCTTTCAATTTGCTGGTCAGTTTGAAAGTGAATAAGTTATTTTTCAGTCAATCAATCAATCATATAAATCAATCAGAATTTCACACAGTAAGTTGGCGCAGTTTATCAATCAGTCATAATTTATTATTCTGTCAATCAATCAGTCAGCTAGTCTACATTCAATCAGCCCTTCTATCAGTCTGTAAGTCAATCACTCTTTCACTTAACTAATCAATCAGTCAGTCAAACAATCAATCCATCAATCAGTCAAGTTTTCAATCAATTATGATTCCTTATTCAATCAAACAATCAATCAATCAATCAATCAATCAGCTAATCAACAAGTCAATTAGTGTTTCAGTATGTTTCAATCAATCCGTCAATCAATGATTCACTAAATCGATCAGTCCCATAGTCAAAACTCTATATATAAGATATATAAGGAATTGTATAGAGAGTCTGGTATATGCTCCACACTCACCCCTTAGGTAGATCACTCAATTGGGATTAACCGACCACAAAAACCAATTGGAGTCCACATAAAATACAAAAAGAAGAAGAACAAGCACGAGCATAACAATAAACATTCCAATTTCATTTACAAATTAACACTTCATATATTTGAGATGGTGAAGTGTCAAGCGGGAGCTGAGACTACACATAGAGACTCTGTAAGCTGCTCGACGATTGCCCCGATTCGGCTCCATATGGTTGCAAACAGGAAGCTAATCCTGCGCTGTGATATATCAACATATTTATGGTAAATGGATCAGAGGGCTTAGCGCGTCGTCGTCGTAGCCAGTCGGTGGTTGTTCACCATATGGTTTCACTGTAGCTCCCCCGTATGCTCGCTCGCTCGCTCGTTGGGGAAACGCATAAAATTTTATGTACTTTATTTTTGAGACTTTATGCGTTGGCAGCGGCTGTTTAATATTTGGGCTAAGTCTTTTAATGTTTAATAAACAATTATTAAACAATTTATTGTAAATGTGTTGTAAATCTTTTGATCTACCACATACAGTTAGGCGCTTAATGATAATAAATAAAACACGGTCTGCTTGTTTAGGTATTGTGCCAAGCAATTACGCATTCGAATTCATTCGAATCATAACAATAACAGATCCAAATCCATCATCGAAACTGTTTGACATGCAATTCCGGGCAACAATTTCAAGTGAAGATTGTGTATATGTAGGTCGGCATAATGCGCTTTGATCTGCATTAAGTTGATGCCGCTGCGGACTGAGGAATGACTTTTACATTAGAACTGATCGATAAGGTGTGAGAATCGATCATAGAGTCCTAGGAGAAGAAACAAATTTATAAACTTAGCAAAATTTCCAGAAAGTTAAACAATGTCTTTCTTTTTCACCAAAAAAATAAATCTTCATACAAAGAAATGTCATATAAACTATAGAGTTCGAGTCAAAATCACTAAATCTAAATTTTTTAGATTGGAAATCAGAAACATATTTAATTTATTTGCAAAAATTGCTACACATTCCACATATATTGATTCCACAACTAAAACACTTATTTTATGACAAATATATTTATTCTAGAAACGTATCAGAGAATTCATTATCTGTATTTAAATGCTAATTGAAATAAATTCAAACTGCGCGCCTAAAAAGAGTGCTGCCTATTCATTCAAATCAGTCTTAATCATTTTACAGCACTCTTTTTAGGCACATATATTATACGCTTCAAAAATACTGCACTCTTATCGATATGTGCCTAAAATCTATCGATGCACGACTCGCGCTCAACTCTAAGCGATAGTCGTGCAACAGCTGTTTCTTTTTTGCAATTTAGATTTTTCTTGCCTAGTTCAAAAGTTGATTTTAATTTTAATGCATTTGTGTGTGAAACGTACAAAATGGAGCGCAAAGAAGTGGACACACAACAGTTCATCGACCACGTAAGCCTGTGTTACAATATGTAAGAAGAGTTTTAACATATTTTACAAACCATTGCAACACACAGACGCTGCTGGCAACGGAGCTGATGCACAACAACTTTATGATGGATCTCATGGACCACACGGGTGTATTTCCCAAAACTGAAGGACCCACGAATCTTAGCACCACGGCGCACCACAGCACCACCAATGGCGGTGGCTATGTAGAAAAGCATACGCTCACACCGCCTGAGCTCAATTTCCACAATACGATCTTCCAGTTTGTCAACAAACATGTTGTCGAGGAGCCAAACGGAACGCGAACAGACGCGGTGCCCGCTTCACCTGAACGGACGCCAGACAACTATGTCAAAGATACGGACGTGGAGTTTCTCACACTCAACAGCAGTTTCTTAGATCGAGCAGACGCTGCTGCAACCGCAACAGCTGGTGGCAATGAGAATGTGGTGCCCCAGCAGGTGGCACAACCCACCTTCCCCGCTCTTGCCATTGAGCCGACGGTGCCCATTGATGTTAACGCAGCGCTACATAGCGACGATCTGCTCTATGCACACAATGCATCCGTAACGAATGCGCGCAAGGTGCTGCCCCACAAAAAGCGCATCTCACGCAAGCTCAAAGGCTCTGTATGTGGCATTATGGAGGCCGAGCTGGAGCAGCACAAGCATCAGCATGTCGTGTCGACAGTGGCCAACTATAGCTGCGAAATATGCGGCTATGCAGTGCATACACAAATCGAATTCTATGCACATCTCAAGGAGCATTATGATCCGGGCAGTCTGCAGCAGCAACGACTAGATGTGCCACAACAGCAGCAGCAGCAGGTGCAGCAACAGCAAGTGCAGCAACAGCAGCAGGTTCAACAACAGCAGCAACAACAAAAGGAGCCGCTAGACATGTGCGGCTTGTCTGCTGAGGATAAGGTAAGCGAGACGAAGTCTTAGACTTGGCTTGGCTCGAGGCTCTGCAAATATTCCGCAGTTGGACTAGTAAAGAGAAAAATATGTATGAACGTATCCATTTTTTAGTGTATCTTATCCTATTGCCAATAAGCGTTAGCTGTACTTCTTTACTAATCGAGACTTCACTCTCGTTTCTTTTGCAGCTGCACCAGGAACAGGTCAAACTGGATCAGGCTTTTCGGGATGTGCAGCTGAATTTTGAAAACTTTCACAATATTAGCCATGTGGACGATGATGTAGTGGACGATGTGGGTGTCAATATGGTCATACATGCGGATGCTATGTCGCTTCACAAGGCCGATGACAAACTGACGCCCGTAGGAACTACGAATACAGCTGCAACGAATGATGTAGCCGTTGTGGATGATGTGGAATTCAGCGATACAGAAGATATGCTGGAAGGCATACGTAATGTAGTGGACAAAGTGTCCGTGGAGGATACCTGCGATGCGCCTTGGTTCAGTAACAATTTCAGTGATATAGCTTTCTCGGGACTACTGCTGCCTGGCGAACCGCCACCGCCGCCAGCACCTCCAACAGCATCGACTGCACCGGATACGTCGCTGCTCAAGACGTCAAATCCCATAGAAGAGCATCCGCAGGATGAGCAACTGACGCTGAATTTCTTGAAGCAATCGTCCCAGCCCAAACTGGAGATGGGTCACAAGAAGAGCTACATTGAGGCCATCGCTGCAGCAGAAGCGGCGGCAGCAGCAGCGGCCGCAATGACAACCTCGACTGCAACTTCAATATCCCCGCCCACACGCACCCCTACACCTAACACTGGCTCCACCATCGAGCAGCTGCAGCGTTCGCCCCTCATGCTCAGTGAATCCTTCAAGCTGGAGGATGTAGACACCACAGCGCCCACAGGCAGCGCCAACTCATCGCCAGTAGCCAACGATGGCATTGACGACAATGCGGACAGTTATCTCATGGAGGCGGATAAGCCGACCGTCGATGAGCCAAGCGATGCCAAACGCAAGTTTCACTGTGATATTTGCGCTCGTGACTTCAATTCATACAATGCGCTCAAGTATCATCAATATACGCACAGCAAGGAGCGAGCATATCCTTGCAACACCTGCTTACGATCCTTCTACACACAGAGTGCACTTAAGGCGCACGAACGCACACGTAAGTATCGTACGATCTTATAGAGATGATATTCGTATAAATATTTAAATATTCTTTTATATATTTTAGATTCCGGCGTTAAGCCGTACAAGTGTGAGAAATGCGATTTTAAGTTCCGACAGTGGGGCGATCTCAATTACCACATCATCTCGCGGCACACGGAGGTAAAGGCGCACATGTGCGAATATTGCGGCAAGAGTTTCTCCCGGAAGTACTCACTAGTGCTACATCGGCGCATCCACACTAGCGAGCGCAACTATGCGTGCCAATACTGTACGAAAACGTTTCGGGCGAGCTCCTATTTGTTGGCCCACACCAAAGTGCATACGGGCGAAAAGCCGTACTCGTGCAGCGTATGCGATAAGAAGTTTCGCGTATCCGGCGATTTGAAGCGCCACACGCGCATACACGATCCGGCGCGCTTGGGCCAAACGACGTCGGAGTCGGCGGCAAAGAAACGCAACAAACTGAAGCAAATCGAGGACGAGGATGTCGAGGCGATCATCAAAAACAAGTCTGATGCCCTGTGCGGCGATGCTGAGCAGGAAATTTTGGGCTTATAGCCAAATGCCAAAAGGTTTCTACGCAAATAGTATTAGCATGACAAATACAATGACAACGTGTCTGTACAATGTATATAGTTAAGCAACACACAAATAATGAATCTAATTAGGATAAATAGAGCTTAAAAATAGCCATAGAGGTTATCAATGATAAAAGCGAAAAAGCAGACCAAACAAAATGTTAAAAATATAAATATAAATGCGTTTCAATATCAATTCAAAGAAAGCTTCAATAAAGTTGGAAAAGTTTTGTAAACATCAATAGCGTTACGATTAATCGATAACATTTATAATTACCGTTAAGTGTGCGATCCATGGAAGAAAAACTCGATACTCATTTTCTTTTTTTTTTCGCTTACTATTGCAGAGCATTTCTTTATTATTTTTCATCATCTTCGTTTTTTGTTTTTGTTTCTTTTTTCTTCAATAATTCTTTCTTCTTCTTTTCTTTTTGCACTTGTACCGTTCATCGACTTAATTCTTAAGGTTTTTTACCATTCATCTTGTTTAATGAGTAATTTTATACACACATATATATCTGTATATATATATATATATATATGTATATTTATCGTAATTATTAATGTAACTATGTACAACACAAGTGCCTTGGGGCCTTTTTTGTTGCCCCAGGCCACAATGAAATCTTTGCATTTTGTTTACAACTTAACTCGTTTTTCATTTGTGTTTCAAAAATATTCAACATAACCTGTCTAACTCAACTCTTTCTTCTTCTTCATCATCTTGATTTGTGTTTGTGTGCTTGTTTGTTTAATGTTTCTTCTTTCACAATTTGCCTTTCACTTTGAACTTAAAAACTAGAACCTAGTATCGGTTGCTTCACTTTGCTCTCTAACATACGCTCAGTCCATGATATCTTCCATTCTCCACTTCATATATATATAGATGTATATATATATACTATATATAATATAATTTTTTGGGTTTCGTTTTACTCTGCTTCTCACAAATGTTAAATTATGTTAAATCTGGTAGGTTTCTCTCTCTCTTCTCTCCCTCTCTGTATGTGGAAGTGTGTGTGAAGTTGTAGGGTATATGTGATTATTGTGACTACTTTTTGGATTTGAAACAGAAATGTTTTGCTTGCTTCACGCGCTGAATGTGATTTAAAATTAGTTTTACTTTTGCATTGAATATTTTCTTCGTCTTTTTGTTTTTTTTTTCTGTTTTAAATATTTTATATTCTGTACTTAAAAATGTATGTTCTGCAGCTGCTGCTTCTTTGCTATGGTTGCACACAAAAATTTACTGTTATTTTGCTTTTAAATTTAATATTGGGCTTATTATTTGGGCTTTGGGTTTTTGGTTTTTCTTTTCGCGTTTTTGTTTTTTGTTTTGTTTTTTGCTTTGTTTACTTAAATTGTTAAAGAAAAGTTAATGCTGCTTTACTAATACACATAATACTCTTGCCAATTATGATTATTTATTACGTTTTCTTTGACTATTTTGTTGCGTTTAGCTCAATCAATCAATCAATCAATCAACCAAAAATCCATTTTCGACATCTTTCTGTGTGATGGCAGCTTTTTGGTATTTCTTATTTCTTTTTTTTTTTTGTGTATTAATTTTTTTTTAGATTTTATTTTTTGTTTTTATAAAATAGCTTGCTATTTAATCTTGTACATTCAACACATATTCAACTGTATTTGTTTTTGTTTTTTGTTTTAAACTGTCCAACTTAGTTTTGCTTTGAATGTTTGCGCATACAAAAATGTTTATTGTTTTTAATTTGTTTTATTTTATTTTTTTTGTTTTTGTTTTCTTTTGCTATTGTTGCCTGTTGCTGTGTTCTGTTTGTCCCCAGTGTTTGCTACGCTATTTTCTCTTCGTCCGCTCTGCTCACATCATTTTTTTTTGCTTTGCATTTTACACAATTTTTATAGAAATATAATTTTATTTTTTTTTATATTTTTTTGTTTGTTTTTGTTTTGAGTCTTCGTTCTACAATCACACCACAATTTCTTTTTGTTTTGGTTTTTAAATATTTATTTTATATTTGTTTTTAGTTTGTCCGACTGCAAACACATTTAAAAATATTAAAATACTTGCTAACAAATGTAGCTTTAGCCAATTTTCAAAATGCTTTCTCCTCTTCTTCTTCTTCTTCGTCCTCTTTGCTGCACACAAATACAATATTTACAATTCTGTAGCTACTACAAACATATATATAGTTGTATATATATATATGTATATATCTAAACTTTGCCAACTTTACCAGGATTTTGCTTGCTGCTGCCTTATTTATTTTGTATTTTGTTTAAAATTGTGAAAAAATAGCTGCTTCTATTGTTTAGTTGTTATTTTCGTTTAGCATATTTTTTGTTGTCTGTTTTAAAACTTGAATTACTTTTAGCTTTACATAATTTGATTTGATGATATTTTTGTTGCTGCTGTTTGTTGTTTTGCCTTTTGTTTATTTATTTATTGTATGTCTGCTTGTCTGTCTGCCTGCCTGCTGTCCGTCAGGCCGTTTGATCGTGTTGTGTGCGCCTAATTGTAGGGCCAGTGCGCGTTTATCAACACTGGCTGCATAGGTACGTTTTTACAGTTTGCAGTTGCTGTTGTTGTTGTTGATGGTTTTTTGTTGTTGTTGTTTGTATAAAAAGTCTTTGATTTGCCTTTTCCTTTTAATTCGCTGTTAGCGCGCTCTGCATTAGAGACTCACCTGCTGCATCTTATCAAAATCTAAGCACGGCCTATGTGGTCGCTGCAGTCTCTGTGTGGCGGCAGCAACAGTAACGCCAGCATCCCCACCACCACCACCACCACCACCAACTGTTGCTGCTGCTGCTGTTGTTGCTGCTGCTGCGCCGCTGGCAACATTATTGCTGGGACGACGACGCGGCGAAATGTCGCAATGAAATAATTTCGCGGGCGGACTAACCGAACGCACCTCCATATCCAAGCCGGTGGTGGAGGCCGGACTGCTCCTCGAGCTATTATAATGGAAACTATATTTGGGCTGCGGCTGATAAATGTGATGCGAACTGTTGCTCATCTTCAGCGAGCTGCTGCACGCCTTAATAACGCTCGGCTCGTTCTCGTTGCCTTCGTTGCCAGCTCCAAGTTTGGCGCATTTGCTGCTGTTGCTGTTGTTGTTGCTGTTGGTGTTGCTGTTGCTGTTGCTGTTGTTGCCGTCGCCGTTCTCCTCATTTACACTATTATCACATAATTTAATATTTTCGATGCCACATCTGGCCTCCGATAATATCAGTGGCGTTGTGGAGCGGAACATCATATGGCTACGATTTGGCTTAAATGCCTCCAATGGCGGCGATGTGCGAAAATTCACGGGCGTCAATATTGGCTCCAGCGAGTTGCGCAACTGTAGGAAATCGAAAAATATGCGTTACTTTTGATTTGCTTATATTTTTTATATAACTGTAACACTCGCTACTGCATCCCTCTCTACTCCGCCTTGCTCACTACTCTTTACTAACCTCATCGTCGGAGCTATGGGCCAGCGAACGCTTGCGATTCTCAACCATTAGCGTAGAGCTGGAACGCTTCGAATTGGATGATGTGGTTGCACGCTCATCGTATGGCGCCTCCGTATCCAGGGATGAACTGCAGCCTCGACTGGAGAGACGCGATGCACTGGACGACGATGCCGCTGTGCCGCTGCTGGCGATTGTTGCTGTTAGCGCCGCCGCTGCCGCTGCAGCTGCCTCGGCAGCGGCTACCGCTGATGGCCCATTAATCACCTCAAGCTCCTCCTCCGAACTATGCTGATCGTACATGAGATGGGCGCAGGATGACGACGACGATGTCTGATGGTGACACATCATTGCAGCAGCAGCGATCGCAGACGACTCGGATGAGCATGCAGTATCGGTAGTAGGTGAGTTAGCATCCGTACAGGAACTCAAACCTGTTGGCCATAGTCAAATCGAAAATTCCGTTAATGAAATACTCTAACAGTCGATGTAGTTGCGACAAAATATCGATAACAATTAAAACTTTAACAATCTTGAATTTGTTCGTGACAAAAAGCAAGCAGCTACAAGGCTCAAAAGCCATATCGCTATCAATAAATTAAAAAATGAATTGTAAATCCTTAGTTCTCAGTTAACATTCGGAACTAATCAAAATAGATTATTTTTATTATATCTAGAATCGATAATACTCATGGAAACATTGATAAGTTGGTCGAGATTACTAGTTCTGATTATTGTAAGAAATAAATAATATTCTTATTGTCTCCACTCCAATCGATATTGATACTGATATCGATAAGATTTGTTATTTTAATTTCAAAGTGAGCATCGCTACACTATCTTATTAATATCAATTAGTTAACTTACTAGTTTCCATATCCACGTCTAAGTGACGTTTGTTTTCCACATCGAGAAGTTCACCATCAGATTCGGTGCCAGAGTCATTCGATTCACGCTGTAAACACATCAAATAAATTATTAAACAATTTGTTTAATTTTATTTATTATTTATTTTCTTAATATTTATTTCTGCATTTGGCGCCCACCTTTTTACGCAGAAAATTTTTCGATGCCTTTAATGAATTCTCGCGATTTTTGTGCCTGACAAACTTTATCATGATTTTTTGCTGTGTGCTTTGTTTTATTTATTACACATTCCACACGCACACGCACACTCGCGCACTTGAACATACACACACACACACCGACACACACGTTCGTGTTTACGCGACGCTGCACCCACAACACAGAAAAACTTACTACGACGACAACGTCGGCGTCAGCTGCGGCTGCGACTGCGACGCCCCCTTTCTGCCACCTTTTGTACGTTTGTGAATGTGTGTGTGTGTTTGGGTGTCCGTGGGGTCCTCTCACTCTAATTCCTACTACTATTACTACATGCTAGTACTTTTTGTGCTGTTACGTTTTACACTCGTTTTCGGTTTCTATTTATTCGCCATCACTGTATGTATTTTTGTTTGTTATTTTTGGCTATACTTTGCTTCCTGATTTACGCGAGAGCTCGAATGCGCGCTCACTCACTTGCTTACGCTAACCCTCTCTCTCTCGCTCTCCCTGTCTCTCTGTCTTTCTCAATGTCTCTTTCTCGTTCGTTCACTGTTGCCGCCTACGCGCGCCTGTTTGGCGCGTGTAAGCGCCGTTTCCTTTTTGTGCAATAATTTCAATCACGTTTCATGCGCGGCGTTTTGTTGTAATCTACACTGCTTTGCACCACCCACCGCAACAACAACGGCAACAAATACAAGAAGAAGAAGGTTGCCACTTTACATATATGTTCATTCGTGCCAAGAGCCGAGCCGATCCGAACCAAGCCGAGCCGAGCGAGCGCGCACCTTTCGCCGTAACTTATACAGCACGAAATTATCGATTTTCGGTCTCGTATTTGCGGAAGCAAAAGTTCTTCAACAGGATCCCACGACCAGACAGCAGTCCGGCAGCAGTGCCAAAAAAAAAGACCGAAAACAGTTCTGGCTAATAGTAAAATAGTAATATGGCTGCTGACTTAGTTTAAACTTATGCGTATTGATTCACTTTTATGTTGTTTGGTCACTTGTTTTGCACAACATTTGCAAGCAGTTGCATTTTTTCAGTTGCTGCAATTCTCTCTATGGCAGACTTTTCGGCTCGCCGACTTATTACTACTACGTATTACTATCATCACCCGTCACCGGCTAGCGCTGCGCTCAAACTGAAAAATTATGGCCAAAAAATCTCTGCGCTGGCGCTGGAGCTCTGCTCCGACTGAGGCTGCTGTCGCTGCGCTCTCACTTGCAATTTCTGTACGCCTATGTGTGTGTGCTTGTGTGTGGAAGCTTTTTGCACTGGTTGACTGGCTGGGCTCGTCTGTGTGTGCGTGTGAGTGTGTAATGAATAGGGCGGCGGGGTCCAAACATGCGCGCACAACTCGTGCTACTTCGTGCGCCTTCGACTGGGCTTCGGTTGTGGAAATGCAGCGAGTTAGCAGCATGCTCGTAGTACATAGTATTTATGGGCAGAAGAAGAAGAAGAAGTAGCAGCGGCAGCGACAGCGGTAGTAATAGCAGCCAACGAGGAGCAATGCAACAAAAAAAGCACTAGCAAGAAAAATACCAAAGCGTGCGAAAGTTGATATAAAACAAAAATTATTTTCGAGAAAAATGTGGAAACATGACATGAAAATAGAGATGGACACAAATATGGATGACATGTTCGATTGGCTTTCGTAGTTAGCTGAACGCGCTACACGTTTCAATCACATTCAATTTGCTTTCAATTTACGCGGAAAATACTACGATGATGGCTACGTGCCCCACGAGCACAGACACACAAGCACACACATGCACACAAGCACACACACGCTCACAGAGGCACAGTGACAAGTGCAGTGGAGGAGAGCGCTCGACAGTAAAACGTAAACGTCTTTGCAGCCGTCGTTTTATCCGGAGCAGAGCTTTGCTCACCTCCTACTGCTCGACCACGTCGTCGTCTGACTATCGATTCCGCATTGATGTTGCTGTTGTTGTTGTTGCGTCGCCAAGTACTTTTGTTCCATTCATACTGTACACACACACACACATTCACGCACACGCATGCACTTATGCACAGCGCCTCACGCAGCGAGCGAGCGAGAGCGATGGAGTCTGACGTATGCATATATGCATGCGTTTTGTGGTGTGGGTGTTTTGGCTGTGGGGGGCCGCCAGGCAGCACCAGCACCAGCACCAGCAGCAGAAGCGACTGCGTGTTGCAGCCTTGTTGGCTTCAGATCTAAATTTAGCATTTGGCTTGCAACTTCGCAAGGATTTCTTTACACTTTTTTCACTCACACACAGAAACAAACTCACACACATACAGGAACCGCAATGCGTGCTGCACGCGAAAACCGTTTTGCAAATATATCACAATTTTTTCAACTTACTTGAGTCGGCTTTTCCACACAATTATGAAAAATTTGAAAATATAGCTGCTTGTTGTTGTTTTCCGGGATGCGTGGGTGGGTGGGTGAGTGGGTGTGTGGAATGCTCCTGCGAGAAGAAGCTTCCGAAATGCGAATCAAAAACTATGATCCGGACTCTGGACAACAAAACAGCAGCAGCAGCGAGTGTCGAACGATGAATGGGGCTGCTGCTTTGTACTACAATTCAACAACGACGGCAGCAGCGGCTGCGGCTGCGGCAGCACCAGCAGCGACAGCCGCTGGTTGGGGTGGTAGGTGTTTGTTAGAGCACGCGACGCGTTTTTGGAGAATTGACAAAACAAGCGCAAGCAATAGATAGAGAGAAAGACACCAAGAGAGTGTGAGCATTGAGAGAGCGTGCCAACGTGCATACAAGGCTAGTTATTTATGTACGTATACATACATATGTGCGATTGTGTTTGTGTGCGTGCGAAATTGTAAGCGCTTTTACGCCAACTACAAAATCCACAACGCTCAGGCCTGGGATGCTGGTGATGCGCTCTCTTCCACGCTTTCTTTCTCTCTCTCTCTGTCGGACTATTGTATGTTTGTGCGTGGCTTGCAAAAAAGGCAACCCAATAGACATTTCTCTAGACATCTAATGCAATTAACTTTTCAATGTCAAGTCGCGACGCGCACCCTCCATATACATGCATACATACATGCACATACGGACACACAAGCACTGCATAGACAGCGTGGCTTTCTATTACATTCCACTATAAAACGGCACATTGCACACACTACCCCACCTACTTACTTACCTGCTCAAGTTGCTTAGTTTCGATTGCACGTCATCCCTTCATCGTAAATGTTAGAGCTATCGGCTGCGTTGATGGTTTGCTTTTCAATTGGCTTCAGTTCGTGGTCTGATATGAATGTTGTCCAAAACGAAAAGCAAGAGTGCGGTATCGGAGAGTGAGTGGGTGAGCACGAGAGTGGGGGCTGTCAAACCAGCTGAGCGACAATGGAAGAGGCAACAAGAAACGCGAGTGTAGTTTATGACGTCATTAGTGACCCTGCTGGTGAAAAATTCGAGAAGCTTGATCAAGTAACATGGATTTATAGCATTGAGCTTTTTAACGTGAAGCATACGGAAATTTAAATTCGAGTAAAATTAAATATTTATGAATAGAATAGAATTCAATTATAGCTATATATATGAAATATATAATATTTATATATTTATAATAAAGTATTTATTATAAAATATAGCTATATGTATAATGTAATATTTATATTTATAATCAAGTATTTATGATTGCTTGGCTCCACTATTTTTAAGGAAACTAACTAAAATTCATTTTACTAGCTAAAATGTATATGTATATAATGTATATGTATACAAAATAAATGTAGCAAATTTAAATTTGATAACGTAGTCGCGGTACGATAACAAAAAGCCGAGATACCACTTCTTGATTATATTTGCTAGATATGGACTATTGGCAACTGTTTGAGATGAGCGAAAAACAGCTGTTCACAATTAATTCAAACTGTTCTGAATATAGCGTATTTATTTTGGCGCATTAAGTTTACTTTAAGTAAATTAAACACAACTAACACATTGCTTGAATATTTTTTATCTAAGCTAACTGAAATTCAATTGCTGACTTCAGAGCAAAGTAAAAGAAACCGATAGCTTAATTTTGAATACAGCTTCAAGTAATGTATCGATACCTTGTCATTCATGGAGCGATTTAAATTGAATTTCAAATGGTAAAACGGCTCTTCTTGTCTGTGATAAACTTTATTATGAATTTAGAAAAGAATCTATAAATAAATTGCATAAATAATAAAAGTATACATGAAATAATAGACTTAGCTTAGGTATGCATAGTATATAATTAGCTAATACGAGTACATAGGTATGCAAAAGAGTCTACTTAACTAATTAAATGAAACATTTTGTGCACAGAAATTTCCTTTCTTCTATCATTTTACTTTTGTACACTTAAAAGAGCTTTCGGAAATTCTGTGCATTCCATGAACATACAGACAATCAATTAAATTATATACATAAGTGTAATTAGAATAATTTTGCGGACTAATAGCAATAAAAAAAATTTGCTAAATTGCCACGTCTACAGTTTAATGCATGTGAGCTCTAAATTTAATCATTAAAGTCTTAAGTAAATATTACTTATTTTGGCTACATGGGCATGCCATTTTTCGTATATAATTGATTTTTTTTTAGTTATGTATATATATAAATATATATATGTATAGAAACTTTACAGCTTGGCTACAAACTAATGTCTTCCAGTTTTTTTAGTATACAATTTTTTAAGTGGAAATTCTGTATATGTCTGTAAATCTCAATCTTGTGCGGTAGAAACTACTATAACTTGTGCGGATGTGGTGGGTTTTTTCTTCGCTCATTTCAAATAAAATCCTTTGATTACTTTTCGTTCTTGAGCGGCATGCCCTCCTCCTGTGCCACATCGCCAATCTTTTTGCGTTCCGGAGGATTATTCCAGGACTGCAGTTCTCCAGTGCCCAGGATAACAAAGACAACCGCTGCCGAGATGTAGGTGCCGGCCAAAATCCAAAATACAATTTGCCATTGATGAAACGAAGGCTAATTATTACAAGGAAGAGTTTATATAATTAGATTATATTTACTTTATAATATTATTGTTGACTTACATTATCAAATGTCAGCGCGCCCACCATCCAGGTGGACAAGAAGCCGCCAAAAGAAGACAAAGAATTGGCCATGCCAAAGATGGTGCCACTAAAGTTGGGCGCTATGTCCAGACCATTGCCTAAATAGCCAGCGGTTACAGCGCCATGGGCAAATAGAGCGAGCGTAAAGATGGCCACCGACCAGGTAGCATCCATGCCTAAGAATACCTGCGCCGTCATCAGCAGACCTGGTGTAACAAGAGCTGCAAAAGTAAATAGAAGAAATATATATTAAAGTTGGAGAGCACGAAGGGATTACACCTTGTAATACGATAAACCGAGCCATATTAGAGGAACAAGAAATTGTTCCTTGTGATTACAATGTTAAACGTACCGAAAGTAGTGAAGAGCTTGCGTGTTGCTGTCGTACTCAAGGTACCCTTCTGACGCAAATAATCAGCCAGATAGGAGGATGCCACGGCCATCACATATTTGCCTAGATAGGGCAGCGAGGAGAACAAACCATTCTGTAAGAAAATAAATATTTATTAAAATCAAATCGAAACCGTACAAAGTAAATAACTAAGACTCACCTTCTTGATGTCAAAGTGCAGAATCTTGGACATAAATGTGGGCAGCTGATTGATGACCGTGAAGAAGCCGAATACAGACAAGCCGTGTGTTATGATAATAGCCCACACCGCAGGCGAGCAGAGCAACTGACCCCAGGGCACATAGCTGGGTCGCTTCTTAGATGTGGATGTGCCGATGGCTTCTTCAATCTCGCGGCGCTCTTCGGCCGAGATGCGCGGATGTGTGGCAGGCGTCTCGTAGACAAACGTGAACCAGCACAGAGACCACAACAGACCAACAGCACCCGTCAAATAGAAGACACTGGCCCAGCCACACACTGAAATCAAATAGCCACAAATAGGCATCGTAATGGCTGCGCCAAGCGAAGAGGCTAAGAGGGTAAGAGAGGGTTAATATTATGCAGAATGAATCAGGAATGATATACCCTACTCACCCATCATATTGGACATGAACTTGGAGCGATCCATGGGTGGGATCCAGACGGCGGCAACGGGGTGTATGGCCGGCCAGGAGGCGCCTAGCATGAAGCCAAGTGCCACACGCACCACAATCAACATAACGTAGCTCATGTGCGCCGCCAGTGGCGTTATCAGGGTCAACAGACTGGCCCAGAGCATGGAATGACCAAAGACGCGACGACCGCCAATCATTTCAGCCAGACGACCGCCTGGCAGCTCGGTTAGGACATAGCCCCAGAAGAAACATCCAAGCACAAAGTTTGTTTGGTATGTGTCCCAGGGAAAGCGCTCCTCATAAACATCAACGCCATCGCTGGTGGTGGTGTTGCTGAGGATGCCCTCACTGCTGCTGCTGCTGACAATCCCCGCCAGAGTATTGTTGCTTGCTAGGCTGGAATTGCCTGCTATGTGCGCTGTGATATTTGGCATAACCATGTCCACAATGGCAATGGTTAGGTTGACTACATAAGGATAAATAGATGTCATTAGCAAGTATTAGGAAATACATGGAAATGGGCACTTACCGCGCAGCGCATAGTTCAGCATGAAGCCGAGCATTGTTAGTAGATTCAAGACTTGACGGCATGATAGCATATCTGCAAGAGAGTAAAGGAGATATAAAAATTAGGAAACAATTCAAACTATGAAGATTATTTATTTATAATTCATAAATTTAAAAGCTTTTTTCCTTTTAAGAAACAACAGCAGAACATTTCATTGTTAATAGTCGATCTAGCTCGAAATAAATGGGCATCACTTTCATCATAAGTTGAGAAAAGAAAAAAATGAGCAGCACTGTTGCTAAGCAAAAATTTGTATATAAAATATGATAAAACTAAAACAAAGGAGAAATTGTAAATTAAAATTAAAATAGAATAAATTAAATTAACAAATATTATTTATCATACAATATATAATATTATTAGACAATTTTTAATTCTAAATTATTTTAAAGTCTGCCCAATATGTAGATTAAATACAATAAATCTTTGCTGAATTTCGGGTGGTCTGAATATTATCAATAACAAAATATATATACAACAAATTAAGACGTTATATATTTGACCTGATGGCGTGTGTATGGAAAAATTTCTAAAGCTCTAAAAAAAATCGTTAATAGGCGATAAGAAATGCTGGAGAGCTATGGAAACAAATCGAGGATCGGAAGTTCGTTTTGTCAAGCACGCCAGGAGAACCAGTGCGAACCGCTTTACGATTTAATTAAACTGGTTTTTAAATAATTTTATTATTTTTATAATGTGCCTTCAAGAGCCTTTAGATAAGTTTACCTGGAACTATCGTGTGCTGTTTGTAAGACTGATGTAATACGTTGTTTTCATTACATGCCTCAGAGCTTTGGGGCTGCTTTTGCGATAAGCGCATTTATTAACTTAATTAATGATGCGATAAAACTCATTAGCAATCTAACTGTCAGTATTTGACCTCAATACAACGTTAATAACAATAAAAAATTGCACATCAATTTGAGTTGCCCAGGTGGGTGCAGCCCGTAAAAAATTAAGGCTATTAAATTACAAACATTTCTCCTTTTAGCTGATTCAGCCGTCCACTTTATCATAATGTTCAACTCATTTAACATGCTGATAAACTGATTTTACAAGATGATTATCATTGTCAACTGCAAAGCCGTTTGCAGGTTTCGTTATTTTCTCCCTGCTCGTTAGCTAGTTATTAAAACTGAGTTTTAGCCAAAGTGCATTGAGCCGAAGGAAAAGGCGGAAGGTGAAAGAAACTGGAAACGAACGAAGCTTGAATACTCTGCAAAATATTTATAAATGGATACATGTAGTAGAGTAGAGAGTAGAGAGTAGAGAGTAGAGAGTAGAGAGTAGAGAGTAGAGAGTAGAGAGTAGAGAGTAGAGAGTAGAGAGTAGAGAGTAGAGAGTAGAGAGTAGAGAGTAGAGAGTAGAGAGTAGAGAGTAGAGAGTAGAGAGTAGAGAGTAGAGAGTAGAGAGTAGAGAGTAGAGAGTAGAGAGTAGAGAGTAGAGAGTAGAGAGTAGAGAGTAGAGAGTAGAGAGTAGAGAGTAGAGAGTAGAGAGTAGAGAGTAGAGAGTAGAGAGTAGAGAGTAGGGAGTTGAGAGTAGAGAGTAGAGGGATTCAGAATCTACAAAAATCTAGAAAATTTATTTTAGAATCACTTGAGAATCGAAATTCTTATGAGTCAGTGCCATAGTCGGTTCTGTTTGAGTTCACATTCATATCCCTTAAGCTCCGATTCTGAATTCCTCACAGCTTGTTACTTATTGCTTTAGGGCAACGCAATGCCCGTTTTATAACTGGCTTACACTATATTAATAAGCTGCATTAATTTGGAATGCCGTTGAACTCCGGGTCGCAGAGGCGTCCAACTTTAATTTGCAAAACTCGCGCGTGTGCATACATTTTTTTAAATTTTGTTTATTTTTTCTTGATTTTTTTAAAAATTTTTTTTTTGTAAAAGCTGATGTCAGGCAACAAAAGCCGCTTTTAACTGTACTCAGCCCAATCGAAGCGGGCCGAGAAAGCTGCTTACTTATAATAAAAAACAATAACAAAAAAAAAATAATAAAAACGTTCGACAAACGCCGTTATCAATGGGAAGTACGCTCCGACTCAGCACCCCTCCACTTAGCTTATCGCATGGCATGTCTAGCACCTGTCTAGCCTGGTCACGCCCACCTGTCGCATTATTTAATGTGCACAGACCTGTATATCTCAGAGCGACATACACAAAAAGCGCACAAAAACTTGTTCAACATATTTAAGAAGTCTGTTAAACGTCTGGCGGTTTTTTTGGATTAAATTAAAAAAGAAGATATTTATATAATTAGCTGAATATGCTTAACTGTAAAATGTCAAATGCTAATGCTCGTAGACCAGTTTTACGAATTCTTTCCGTAGTGGAGCATCCCCAACGACCTTCATAGTGTTCATCAATTTTTTATTCGCTTTTTCTTGATTATCTCGAGAAATATAAATTAATTTTTCGAATTCGTAAAGCTGATTTTAGGCTTTAATTGGCTTTGCATGCTCTTGATCGTTTGATTTGGAGCTTAACGTCATGGAAAACTTTGCATGAATGGCACGACAAAAAGCCATATAAATTATAGTATTCATAATTTCTTCTACATAAATTATGACACTTTAAATCAATGCTAAGTGAGCGTGTCATCGAAATAGCTTGTATAGACTCTGATAAGAGCACGAGCCAAGGAAAGAAATATATATGTATTTATAACGCTTTGATCCGAAAGCCTATTTACAATAGCTATAAATAATATTGATATACGAGTATATACCCACATATAGACTGTATTGTCTAGACCGGAAATACCCGAAATCAATCAGTTTTATTTAACTGTTGTAAGTTATTGTATTGAGTCAAGCTGCAAAATTGATAACTATTAACGTAAAATAGAATTTCTTCTCTTTTAATGCAAAATTAAAAACAAACAAAATATTTATAATAAATGTGATGTAAAAAACACTATACAAAAATATAAAAATAAAATATACATAAATAAAAGTAAAATATTTTATTAATTAAACAAATTTTTTTATGACCAGAACTCTTTTTTTTAAATTCAGTCTCAAGTGTTGCTTGTACCTACAACTTTTGACGCATCGCGATCAAAAAAATGTTAACGCCTTCCCAGAAGTCTCGGAGTTAACTGCCTTTGAGCAAGTTTTTGCTGCTTTGTTTTTTTTTAAATAATTATTTTTTTATTATTTTTCTGATTAATTGTCGTTGAAAACATTTGTAATGTCTTTTTGTATTCTCAGTTGAAAACAAAATCCGGTCAGAACTAAATATTTTTCATGTGCAAATAAATTAAACGAAGGTTGAACTTTGTGTTTTACAAACAACATCAAAAAACCGGCTACAAAATGAAGCAAACAAAATTAAAATAAATAATAAAACAAACATTTTTTCATTAATTTTAAGACAGCTTAAGTGAAGAAACAAACACACACGAAAAGTAAATATTAAAAATGTTATTTAAATCTTTTTCCGTTTATTATTAGCTTTCGTTTTTAAGCCAAACTAAAAAAGTACTTCAACGTCAAAAAAGAAGAAGATACAAACAAGTTTTCAATCCGAAATGTATTTTTGAGCATAAAAATGCTGAAAAATAGCCCCAAAAACAGAGTTCATTAAGTAAACATCTAAAAAGAAGCAGCGGCAAAAAAGAAACAATGTTTTGAGGCCAAACGTGATACTAAAAATTATTTTTTATGCTAATTTCAGTCGCAGCATGTGAATCTTCAGATTCACGCTAAGAGCTTGAGTCATTCGAAGAGAGTAAAAAATTGTTCAAAATTTTACATTCGAAAACACAAAATTTAATTAAAAATTCGTAATGTTTTTGAGTTTGCCAATAATTTTTAAATCAATTTCCATTTCCGGCATTTCATAATATATTTGACATTAAAATGAACTTTCTTAGCTAAATTTAAACAGCGTCGAGAGGGTCTTCCGATTTTGTTATCAAAAGTGCAACACATAATCGGAGAGGTCCCTTAATAACTCATATACATATATATATGTAGGTAAATATATATACTAATGAGTAGCCATAAGTCATGTTAATCTGTGTATATAAGTTAATTCTATACCAATCTAGTTCTATTTTATTCTTTTTATATTCCTGATCCTTAAGAAGTTAAAAGTTTAATCATTGTATCCTGCCATAGAAATCTCCTGATAAATGTATGAAATTCTCGTATCATTTCTATTCTTTTCTATTCTATATAATTGTCTTTTTATTCATAATTGTCTAATGTAGAAAATGAATATAAAAACATTATATATACCCCCATGATCACGAGTGTGTGTCAGCATCGTTGCTTGCTAATAATTTGTTGGAAGTATTCCGCTTTAGAAATTTTGTTCTATTTTTAAGTTCTATATGCTTCAGTTCCTTGGCACGATAAAGCTCAAAGAAACAAAATAAAAATGCCGGTCACTGGGTGCATGTGCTCCACTGTTCTATATATCTCTCTCTCTTTCTATATATCTCTGCACAAGTATCTATTCATCCCACTCTATAAATGCCGAAATTGTTGTTTCCCTTTGATTTTGAGTGCGTTGTTTCTTGACCTTCAAAATTACATACATAAACCTATATATACAGGTTAAAATTCTTAAGTATATGTACATATGTATACCAGAAAATACATATATAGATAGACTCGACCGACTGTGGTCATTATTTAGTGGTATATAAAACGTGTGGCATTTATCCAAAGGCCCATGTGATCTCTGTTTTTTTCCAACCCAAACCAATATCGACGTCAGACGCGTAGCCATACTTTTGTCAGCTTGCCAATAGATATATATTTATATATATATATCTAAATACATATATATTTATAGCTGTATAACTGTATATATGGCTAAGTCTAGGAAGGCGCGGCCAAATTACGAGTTAAGTTTTCCAGCTATAGAATAGTTTGTTTGCTCTAAAAGTGGCTTTGTTCCACTCCCATTTCTAACTGCCAAACTGTCGAATTGTCGAACTGTCTAACTGTCCGTCTGAGCGTCTGTCTGTCCGTCGTCTTGTCTGTCAGTTGTTTGCACTGTTGACTCGCCTTC